GTTACATCAACTTCTACAGTAAGTCCGCTGTTTTGATTTTTTCCGTGGTTGTTAGTGTATGTATTTGTTGCGCTACATTGTCTTTGGGATACGCCTACACTTTAACCATTTCCTTTACTGCTGCCTTGGGACCCCTCTCCCAATGTTTGTTTAATGTACATTTTCTGGAGAACTATTGAGTGAGTGTAGCTATCAGACAGGCAGCAACTTAGAGAAAGAACAACACCCGTCTGCTGATGGCTGACGTGAACCAGACCTGTTTGATTTAGCTGGAAGTGCTGGGAGAGCTCTGTCTTTGGCCAATGGTTGACCTCGTAGCCATCACGCTAGTTCATGAAACAATAACCACACCAACCAGAGGAAGCACAGAGCGCACAAAAGCCCATGCGCACCCAGTCTATAGCTTCTCAGGACAATATAGGGAAGTATGTGGTTACTATAGGAGAAGTTACCACATACAGATTAGATATGAAGTGTTTGCCATGGCTACGATGCTCCTTCCTTCAGGCCTTTATCGATGAAAGTGATCCGTCAGTGTTTTGGCATGTGGCTAAGGACACATGTTTTCTGTCTTTTTCTGATGAAAGCTCAAGAGGCGAGCTGACGAGCCTGTTGGCAAATGTTTATTGTGTTGCATCTTAAAGCACTCAAGGAAAGAAAGGAAGGAAGCGGCACAAATAGAGCACTCTGCTTTCATCAGAGGGAGGGCTGAATGTTTTTTGTGGCTCTCAGTGGGCAGGAGCTCACTTCCCACAGGTGACACTTTAATACAGGGAGGATTACGGGGCCTTTAGCCCTGATTTAGGACTCCAGGGCATTAAGATCCCAGAGAGCAATGTTTCAGTCACTCAGGCATTAAAACAATCTCTTGGAAGGGAAGTGTTGACAGTTCAAACGTATCTGATAGTAGGCGATCTTGTTAGAAACTGATAACGTTTAAAATATCGACAACAGGTAGGTGAACAAATCTGACCTGACGCTTAATAGAATATGGTTCACTCCATTAAAGATGCATGTTGAATAATAGATAGGCTACTGTGTGTTGTGCTGGCATTGGGATATACATTTTGAATCCAGCCGTAACACCAGACAAAAACATCAACATTGGAAGACTAAAACCTTGGATTACAGACAATGTAGGGCTGCTCAATTCATCGTATTTTAATCGCGATTACGATTATGGCTTGCAACGATTACGAAAACAACGTAATCGAAATAAAACGATAATTTCTTTATTATTATTATCAATTTTTTTTTTTTTTTAAATAATCTTTTTTTTTTGGTTTTTCAGTTGAATTATACATAAAGTTCAGGGTAATCAACTGTTAAAAACATACTGTTCAAATTTTTTTTCTCCAATAAATGGATGTTTTCAAAGTCAATGAATAATCGCATTTACAGTTATTGACAAATAATCGAGATTATGATTTTTGCCATAATCGAGCAGCCCTAAGACAATGTCAATTTATTTCTACAGGGCTTTTCAAAAATTAAGTTTCACTGCTTAGTCAAAGTGGTTTTCATTAAAACAACTGCCTAGATTTGATATAATATTATGGAATTTCAAGGTCAATTTTGACGTTAAAACAAACTCAAAGATAGCTCCAACAATTATTCAAATAATCGATTTGCTTTGATTTAGTTGATCATCGCTAAAATTATCGCTTATTTTGGAAATCGATTATTTGTTTTTAATGCAGAAAGTGCTTTTTAAGCCACTTGAATGTGATGACCTTGCTTTTCCGGATTGTTTTATGAAAAAACATGACGTTTAAAAACACAACCTTGGACTGTGAGTAACTTGGATGGACATTTTTTTTTACAGTTTTCTGACTTTTTATAGACACAATTATTAATCAATGCACAAATTAATGTTAGCAGCAGCCCTTAACTTGCCCCTAAACTCAGGATTGTTTTCAAAGACTCGCTGGTCCAGCATCATTGAGTGTTTCATCTTGGTTTTAGAGTCTGTTGAAAACAGTAAATCAAATATAGTTTGCTGTCTTGAGATCTGTGGTCCGATTCAAATGGACTGAGCTATTATTTTTCCAACATCCTGTTTCCAATCCAGAGGGACTGTGACGTGTGGAGATAGCAGCTCAGACTAAATGAACTGTCTTCAGTCTGGACAGTCTGATGTAACTGATCTCTCAGTGTCTTCCTGTCTATGAACTGAAGTTTCCACACCTATCATTCTTTTTCATACACGGGTTAATTAAAGAAATAGCAAGGGAAATGTATCCTCTGAACTAAATTACTTTCTCTGTCACAGGTCATGCACAGGGCTATCTGGCAGAGCTGCAGTAGTCTGTGTCACCATATCGGATTTAAACAGTGAGGTTAGACGAGGTAACTGCAAAGTCCATCTTTGCTGCAGAAACTAGCAGCACTCACCAGTTTACATTGTTGATTCAACTTATATTGATATGTTTTTAAATTGATGGTAAATCTACAACAATGCAGAACATGAGCATACTCATTATTGGGCCCATATTAGATAATCTTCTGTTCAGGAAGACAACTTGACGCCAAAGTCGTAAACATCTCTGGCCCTGGGACCAACTGTTGTGGCTCGCTGCTGGAGTTGATAAGCCCCACAGGATGGCACAGCTGGGCTTATCGAGCGCGGCCAAACCGAAAGCCTCTGCTATCGCTGGGCGCACTGGCAGAGGAAAAACTCATCCCCTTATCTCCCCTCTGCTGGGGCAATAACCCTCCTTCCGCTTCAGGTGGCGCTCTACTTTCTCCTTAGTTGACCACAAGGGGGGTTGCAGTGACGGAGCAAGATTAAAAGGCTCAGACCTTTCTATGACTCCTACATGCTGAGGTGTTTGGCATGCAGACAATATTGAAGAAATGAAGTGTTTATTTTGAATGCATAAAGCTTGCCATCACTTGAAAGGCAGCTCATTTCAAGACAATAGCAGTGCGTGTGACGAGGTGGCAATAGGAAATCCAATGTTGAAGTTAGTGGATTATTTAATGAGCAGGAATGAAAACAACCTCTTGTGTAAGTGCTGAAAAAAGGAAGAACACAAGCCAGTCTGGATGAGTTCCAACCAGCAGAGCCTGTCCTCAGACTGCATCTGCCTTACTCATACAAACACAGCCTTATTTAAACCGGAGCCTGCTGTGAGGAACATGTGCCTCTGACCCCCGAGGAGACTCACACTGTCTCTGCCTCAGATGTGGGGAAGTAGGAGCATCTTTTTTTCAAATGAGCTGACAAAGTAAAAGCATGCATTTTGAAAGAAACGCAGCAGCCTGACTTCACTAAAGGGCGTCCTACTGGCCATGGAGGGCTCATTCTGCCGCCCGTCATGACAACTTCAGACAGCCTCATGTTTTGCTCCTCAGCCACAATAACAACCTGCATTATTAATAGTTCAGTCAGACAACTCACGTGTTCTTAATATGTTTATTAGAGCAGCATATAGTTGAGTTTGGCGTCTAGGCTCGGGCCTTATCACTCCACAGATTTACATAGAACATTGAGTGATGATTAGATACTGTAACTACTGTATCCCCCGAGCCTACAGGTGGAAGCTGGGGTGGTGGTGGGGCAGGCAAGCAGCACGTGAACGCATCAGCAATGTGACAGAGCCGCAGCATTAGCGAGGCAGAGGCAGGCAGACCTGGCAGCTTAAATAGAGCGGCAAGTTAAGGAGATTGTGTTTGGTTGGTTTTAAGAGACGTGTTAATGTATCATTGGTGCTCGAGTTGACTGCCTGAACTAGCTCGCAGGCTTCGCCCCATTCACACACACTCCAAACTCCACAGTTAAAGAAGTTTTTGTAAATATGTCGTACTTTTAGGAACCTCTAGCCTTCTTTTCCTGTAATTACATATTCATCCTGGTGTATATATAGTTTATAAAAACCCTTATACTAAATAATTATCCTGAAGTGTGTGAACCAAAGTACTCCATTACAAGTTAGACTCCTGGATTCAAAGTTCTAACTTATGAACAAGTGTCAGCAGCATATTTTCCTCAGTTAATAATCACAACATGTTTTATTTATAGCAGCATCTATCAGTGAATGAGGTACTGAGGTAAGAGAGCTGATTGAGCCTATGGCCCACTGATGAAAGTCCCTGCATTTATTTTTATTATCAACCTGGATATGTGGCAATATTCCCGGGAAATATCACATGCAACGACACTAGCTGGTTTCTGAATCTCATATTAATGATTGTCCTTACCAACTAGGATTCAAAAGGAGTAAGTAGTAGGTTCTAATGCATTGCATGAGGATAAGAGTACAAAATAGGTCTAATTGGAAATACTGTGCACAAACTCAATTTACTAAATTAGATACCACCATCTGGAATGCGTAACATACAGATGCTAAACACTTTCTTTTTAAATGAGAAGGAATGTGTTTTAAAGACAGGATGTCATCCTATCTAACAGGAAGTCTCCTTTTCGCCCTCCTCTGGAATTATTGCAGCATGGATTCCACAGGAAGCCCTCCCAAAATCTACCTGGGTCTTATCAGTGTATCATAATAAAACACACAGGGATTTCATTGATCTTAAAACAACAGTCAGTTACATATTTTAAATAGTAAATAACTACTCAGCTTGATGCTGTGACATATACTGTAAGATTTAGGAAAACATGAGTAGGCATTTTAAATATCTGTTTTTCTTATCAGCCACAGCAATCAGGTGTGGTCACAAACTGTGTTTATTTCTTGGCACAGCCATAGGATATCCATTTGAAATTAATTTTCCTCCCCACTCGTGCCAAATCCACCCTCTCAAGGTGTTCTCCTTCCTCTTGGTGAGTCTACTCCTCACGTACAGTCAAAGGACGCCTGCTCCTGAACGTTTTGTTTGCCTAGTCAGGTTCCCGTGCCAAAGGACACTTCCTTTCTATTCTTTGGTTTAATACGCTCAACTATTTCCAGGTTTTATTAATCAGCAAAGGGACACACGCCTTAAAGAGAAGTATCTTTTATTGAATCTGACTGATATGTCAGAGCCCATGAGGACATTTAAATGATCTGAGAGGTGCACTTGCAGGAGGCGGGACACCAAGAGGCCACGTCTGCGTTACTGCTGGTCGCCTGCTGCTTCAGATCAGGACAGTTGCTGTTCTTATCAGCGTAGGGACAGGGGTTGGCTGCAGGAGACAAGAGAAAGGACAATGAATGCATAAATACAAATATATAATGTGAGAGCTCAATATTAAGATAGGAGTTTTTCCAACTTGTTCTCAAATATGTTCCTAAAGCAGAAATGATCTCACTGTTTGACGTCTAAGTAAATCTACAACATTACATTGAGATCCGGGAAGTAAACAAGGTTATACTGAAAGAAGTACATTTTCATTCCGTCTGAGCTTACAGTAAAGAAACCTTTTTGGGCTCCACTCACTGAATTTAAACAAATCTATTAATACATGTATTTCTTTTATTTTACCTTTTGACTTGTTGCGATTTTACTTGTGATCATTTTGGTTTTAATTAGAGTTTTCTAAGCCATGAGAAAGCAAGGGAAGATGCATTTCCCTTGAACAAGTGTGCATTCAAATGTACTGAATCTAGTCCTGCAGCATTACTCTACAATGACGGCAATGGAAAGTTTTGGATTTTATTGTGTCACCTTTGACATTTCTTTGCGGTTAATTGTCCTGCATATAATTAAAAGGAACACAACTTAAATAAATGTAAAAAAAACGTTATTAATTGAACAGTTTTTTTATGCCCCATTTAGTGTATATATAAGCAGTACAAAAAAGTTTAGAACATAATTTGTGTAGTTAAGTGTACTCCAATCATCCATCATTATTTAAAAGTTGTTGATAAGGTGAAGTCTCGCAGTGCAGCCACTTACTGCAGAGTTTGTTGTTGCAGGCATTGGGGCAGTCACCACAGGAGGGTCCTGATTTGTAAGGGCGAGCGTACTGGAAGTTTTCGCTGTAATGTAGGCCAGAGCATCAAATATTAAACTTTACAGCAATAGACACTCACACTCAGCCCAAACATGTCACGAACATGATCTGAGCAGGCAAAAAAAAGATAATGTTAAAGATTGATATACTTTTTTGAAAGCTTTTTCTTTTCTTTTTTCTTACTTAACTTCCAAATATATTTAATAATACATCATGGGACTTGATCTTGGTTCCTTTTAACTCAATGGACTCATACATCAATATTCATATAAATGTTATTTTTAAGTGAGAAAGTATGCTGGACTTTTCATTTCAAAAGGAGGGGAAGACATGTGTTACTCACGGTGGGCAGCATTGGCAGACTGTAGACGTACTTGTACTGAGAGTTGGGACAGTACGCCACATCACAGCCAACCTTGTTGGACCTGTACCAAACAACCTGTGCAGAGAATAAGAGTAAAATCAAATCACCAGGAGGTCATTGTTGTGGTGATCCAGCACTCACACAACAGGAAAGAATGAAACAGAGAGGAATCAATAAAACACAAACACAGATATAGCTGATCAGTAATTATTATTTAATCGCGGACATGCCCCCCAACAGTAGCAACAATCATACAGCATATATAGCCACTGCAATGAGCACACACACATTTTCCCTAAGCATGTTTAACGCACACACATTTGATCATGCAGCCTACCACACAAATGTCACATGTTTATCTCTCAGAAAGCTATACATCCTTAGGATTAGTTAACGAACAAAGGTTAACTGTTTTTATAACCTGAGGCCTTCTCTGAACTTTCTCTACCCTCGGTGTCAGCTCACTTAAAATGAATACATCTATTGATAATTCAGAACGACCATTGTCTCTAACTGTGTGTGACCAAACTCAGTAACACACATCATATAGCTTAGCATGTGATCTCTAATAAATATCAGAAATACGCTGTATTAAACATTCCGCTATAACAGTCATCATAATGATTGATACTGTTTTCATAGTCTCTTTGGGATTCTGAGTATGTTTGAAAATCACAAAAGACTTGGAAATCTCACCTTTTGTAATATGTGACCTTTACATATTTTCAAAAGTGTTGGCTTCTTTGTTTGCAAGTTAGTCAGAGTGCTCCACAAACTGAGATATAATTGTACCTGTGTGTAATGTCCGACCACTCGTCCATTAGATCCCACTCAGTAGCGCCAGTTCTGCACCTCGTCATACCAGTCCTGGATAGCGTTGCTCCAGGGGTCCTGGGAGCTGGATATATAAAGGTTCTCTCCACAGCCGCTAGCTAAAGGTTGAAGAGGAGGAGAGAGACACTTTAGTCTAAAACCATCATAAATGTACGCTCAACTCTTGATCGCACATTAAAAGGGAATCGTCGTTTAAAGTCAGGAAATTGAGTTGAACCCTCACCAACCCTTTCTCTCATTCTAAGGACATATGGCCGCTTTATGTGCTGCTCTGTCTCATCTATTACCCCCTCCTCTATTGTTAATGTAGTTCTTTGATAGCGAAATATCATATTTGGAGTAGTTCAAATATTACATGATTGGGTTGAGAGCCAACGCTGTGGCTTTTAAATTAATCTCATCTACAATTATATACTCTTATTTAATATTAGGCACTCATTTTGTCCACATCTGGTTTGACATTATGCGGAATACAACTTTTTGGATAAAAAATGTATACAATACATTACAAAAATGGTTCCATTATACAAAAATCACAACTTCATAAAACCAATAATAAAAAAGACTTATGTTTGTTCCCCTCAGATCTAAAATGAATGTACTTCATGTTCAAAAACTGTAACCTTCTAAGTTTCACAACGGTGGCATATTTAACGTAATTATTCACTAAGGACTAGTCTGATCATCGCCAATATAATCATATTTCTTCTACAGCTTATGATACAACCTGGTTGAGTAACACTGTAGTTCTCATCTACCTATTTGTTTTTGAAATGACAGTGTGTCTGACTTTTTAGTAAAATACGTTTTTTTTTGTTTTTTTAAACAGGGGGACTTATATAAGGAACTTACAGGGCTGTGGTTCATGGAGCAGGTGTTGGCCCATTTCTGAGCGTTGGCTGCAGCCTCGCTGCTCAAGGTCTGTGGGGGGGGGCAGAGGACACATCAGCACACGCAGACCACCAGTAAAACACCAGAAAATCTACAGGTGCTGTGTGCTTGTCTGGAAATCATGTTATCTTCTACTGATATTCTGCACAAGGGAACAATGTGGAATATCAAATCAACCTTTAATAGGCTAGATCAAATGAGAAATCATGCTCAGAATAATAATCAATGAAGCACACTATGCCTTAGAATTTGTGAAATAATTTGAATGCAACATCCAGATATTACCATTTCCAACATGTTGTAGGCCGAATATTTCTTCTTAGATCATTGTGCTTGTTCACAATGTCACTCGGGTTACTTTGGAGTGTGGACAACTTGGTGGGTGGTCCTGCAGGGTCTTACAAAAAAAACAAGATTTTGTGAAGTGTGATATGTATGATTATACTAAATCATATTAAAATAATGTATTAATAGTAAATACAAAAACTCACCCCCCTTCAAATATGGTTTTCAGAGAGGAAAGAAGAAATATTGTTTAGTTTTTTAGCTGGGGCCCGGCAGCTGAGGGCTTGTCCCCTAACACAGTGTTATGGGGAATGGAAACTCAGATGTGTGTTAACAAGGTGGATGGACAGAACGCTATTATTTACTTAAGTACAATATCGAGGTACTTGATACTACTTTGTACTTTATCTAAGTATTTGCTTTTCATGCCATTTTCTCCCTCCACACCACAACCTATAACAGGAAAATTATATATTTAGTACTTTCATACAATTATTTGACTGTTATCTACGGAGCCCCCTAGGGGACATGGAGAAGGAAAAAAATTATTTGAAAAATATATATATATACAGTGCAAAACCCCTTTGCGAGATCTAGCAATACCTTTGCGAGATCTCGCAAAGGTTTTCATTTAGCTCAATGTACTTCCTGGTCAGTTCTGCTGCTACGGCAACACAGAAACCACAACAATGGATTTTACTTTGAGCTTGGCCTTAAATATAAAGATATAACATCAGTGCTTGGCAATAGGCACGGGTTTCACACATAGACTGTATACAGCCTATGAACATAAC